CAGACCGACACCCCCCCTCCAAAAAAAAAAAAAAAAACCAAAACAAAAAGCCAAAAAACCCAAACCACACCGAGAAAAAAAAAAAGCAAACTTGGACGGGCGGCTCGCGGCGCTGCTTTTGCAGAAACTCTTGACTGACCGCGAGCGGCACCGCTGCCGCCGCCGCCGCCTCGAGGCGGAGAGGACCGCGCCGCCGGGGACGAGGCGCCGGTGTGGAAGTACAAGTGGTGCGGGGAGCGGGGGCGCGGCCGCGGGGGCCTGCGCCGCCCCGGTGCCGCTGTGAGAAGTTGCGCGCCCTGCCCCGCGCCGGAGCGGCGCTGAGCCCCGGCGAGCCCCCCGCCGCCGCCGCCGCGATGGTGCAGCAGACCAACACGGCGGAGAACACGGAGGCGCTGCTGGCCGCCGAGACCTCCGACTCCGGGTCCGGCATCGAGCTGGGCATCGCCTCCTCCCCCACGCCGGGTTCCACCGCCTCCACGGGAGGCAAGGCGGACGATCCGAGCTGGTGCAAGACGCCCAGCGGGCACATCAAGCGGCCTATGAACGCTTTCATGGTGTGGTCGCAGATCGAGCGGCGAAAGATCATGGAGCAGTCCCCCGACATGCACAACGCCGAGATCTCCAAGCGCCTGGGCAAGCGCTGGAAGCTGCTCAAGGACAGCGACAAGATCCCCTTCATCCGGGAGGCGGAGCGGCTGCGCCTCAAGCACATGGCGGACTACCCTGACTACAAGTACCGGCCCAGGAAGAAGGTGAAGTCGGGCAACAGCTCCGCCAAGCCCGGCGACAAGGCGGACAAGGGCGGCGGGGGCGGTGCCGGCGGGGGCAGCGCGGGCGGCGGCCCCGGCGGCCCCGCGGCCCCCGCCAAGCCCGCCCCGAAGAAGGGCGGCGGCGGCGGCTCCAAGCCCTCCCCCGCGGGCGGCGGCGGAACGGGCGCGGGCGGCAAGCCCCACGGCAAGGCGGCGGGCGGCAAGGCCGCCCCCTTCCCCGGGGAGCCGTCGGCCGCGCTGCTGCCGCCCGAGCACCAGGCGCTGTACAAGCCCCGGGGGGCGGCGGGCGCACCCTCGGCACCCGGCAAGCCGCTGGCCGAGAAGAAGCTGAAGCGGGTCTACATCTTCGGGAGCGGGCAGGCGGCGGCCGCCTCCGCCTCCCCCGGCGGCGCCGTGCCCGGCAGCCCCACGCTGAGCAGCTCTGCGGAGGCCGGCGACCCCTTGAGCCTCTACGAGGAGGGGGGCGGCGGCGCGGGCCGGCCCGACGGGGACTGCGGTGGCGTCGCCTGCCCCTCGCCCTCTGGCTCCGGCTCGCCCTCGGATCACCGCAGCTACACCAGCTTGCGCGCCTCTTCTCCGGCCCCCTCGACGGCGCATTCCTCCTCCGCGTCCTCCCACTCCTCCTCCTCTTCCTCCTCCGGCTCTTCTTCGTCGGACGACGAGTTTGAGGATGACCTCTTGGACCTCAACCCGAGCCCTGGCTTTGAGAGCATGTCCCTGGGCAGCTTCAGTTCCTCGGTGCTCGACCGGGACCTGGATTTTAACTTCGAGCCCGGCTCGGGCTCGCATTTTGAGTTCCCGGACTACTGCACGCCGGAGGTAAGTGAGATGATCTCGGGGGACTGGCTGGAGTCCAGCATTTCCAACCTGGTCTTCACTTACTGAGGCGAGGGCCGGGCCCTGCTGGAGGAGACACCGGCGCTCGTGGCTGTCGGCAGGACTCGCCCACCCCGCCGGGCGCTTTTGTGTCTTTTTTCTGTTTTCTTTGGTGTTTGTGGTTTTTTTTCGGTTTTGTTTGTTTCTGGGAAGGGGCTGTTGAAAGACTGCTGCTTGTACTCGGGGAAAGAGGCGGCGGGATCGGGATCGCCCTCTCCTCGCGGAAAGGCCAGCAGTCCCTTTCCTCTGGCTGCAGATGGACCCGCACACACCCCCTCCGAGAGAGGAGCCTGACGGTGCTTTTTTACAGACTGGCGGGAGCGAAACGCTGCCTTTTTCCATTTTATTTCCTGAAAAGAGAGACAGAGAAAGGGGGAGGGAGGGGGGAACCATACACACCTCTGGGTTCTTTGTTATTGCCCACTTTACACGAATAAAGAGGAGGGGAAGCGGTGCGTTGTGCTGAGCGCACACTGGATGTCTTGAGGATTCGCCCTTTCCTGTGAAAGAGCGATCAGAACTGCTTGGGAAAAAAAAAAAAAAGAGAGAGAGAAGAAAAAATCCACCCAAAGTCTTGCAAGGTTCACGTTTGGGGGGGAGAAATCCTGTCCCGGTTTCTTCTGTGGTGAGAGGAGGCGACGATGCTGGGAGGAGGAGGAGGAGGTGGATGGAGCTGGACTGAGTCCTAGTTAACCGGAGAAGATCCAGACTTACACTTGAGAGCTGTCTTGGAAATACGGTGGGGGGAAAATAATAATAAACTGAAACGGATTTGCACGTACAGATGAGGTGACAGCAGCGCTTTTTTCAGTCACCTCATGTTATATGTGGAGAGAAAAATAAGGCTGAAACTTCAAGAACCCTGAAAACTTTTGAAACAGAGCGAATAGGAACGGTTTCTGTCATGATGTGGTACAGGGGAAACGGAGGGCGATGGCTTTTGCAAAAAAAAAAAAAAACCAAACCCGAAAATACAAAAAAAAATAGTAGTTTTTTTCTTCTTACTCAGAATCGTGATGGTGTTGGATTATTTCACTGGTGGGGTTTAATATAGCATGTTATACTGTCTATCTTTTCAAGATTTCTGTAAGACTGTTGAACAGTTAAAAAAAAAACAAACTAGTGTTAGGATAATATAAAAGCAGATAGATGGCGCTATGTTTGATTCCTACAAAAAATATCACCAGCTTTTTTTCATTCTTAACTCTTTAAAGGATTCAAACGCAACTCAAATCTGTGCTGGACTTTAACAATATGAAATTCAGGACCAAATTTTTTCTCAGAGTATGTATGTGTTTGTTCCTTATAGCTGTAAATGAAAAGACTGTTTTTTCTCACCGATGCTCCATCCTCGTATTGTTTTTTTCCTTGTAAATGTAATCGGATGCCATTTTATAAGTGGACGTATTTATACTGGCCAAACATTTTTGACTTGTATTTCTTTGTCCTTTTTTGGTAGTTCTTGTTGTTACCCGCACCATTTTTATGTCTCCTTCACTGAAGGGCTAGAGTTTTAACTTTTAATTTTTTATATTTAAATGTAGACTTTTGACACTTTTAAAAACAAAAAGAGAAGAGAGATGAAAACGTTTGATTATTTTCTCAGTGTATTTTTGTAAAAAATATATAAAGGGGGTGTAAATCGGTGTAAATCGCTGTTTGGATTTCCTGATTTTAACAACAGGGCCGCTGGTTAGTATCTCACACGCGTGTGCGCGCTCACGCTCACTCACACTCTCACACACCCACGAATCAGCCCCTATTTTGTCCATGTTTACACTCCAATCTGCAGGCATCTTAAAGTGACAGCATCCCTCACCGCCCCCGCCGCTGCCCGCTCTGCAGCCCCCCGCCTCTTCGCGGAGTGGGCGCGAGGGGACCGGAGGGAAGGGATATACACTATATGCTACCGTTTTGGGGAACCACTTGTCCCCAAATGAAGTGAAGCAACTGGTGCATTTACATAGAAGGGATCCTGTACCTTTAACTTGTAAACCACATCTTTTGCACTTTTTTTCTAAGCAAAAACGTGCCGTTTAAACCACTGGATCTATCGAAATGCCGGTTTGAGTTCGCGACACTATGTACTGCGTTTTTCATTCTTGTATTTGACTATTTAATCCTTTCTATTTGTCGCTAAATATAATTGTTTTAGTCTCTTATGGCATGATGATAGCATATGTATTCAGGTTTATAGCTGTTGTGTTTAAGATGAAGAAAGTGAAAACATCTTTGTACATTTAAGTCTGTATTATAATAAGCAAAAAAGAAGATTGTGTGTTTATGTATGTTAATATAACATGACAGGCACTAGGACGTCTGCCTAATGAGGTGGTTCCGTTAAGGATTTAACTTTTTTGTTCTTTTTTTGTTCTTTTTTTGGTCATCCATCCTGTGCAATATGCTGTGTAGATTTTTTTTTTTTTTTTTTTTTTTTTTTTGGAGGGGGGGTGTCGGTCTGCTTTTTTTCCTCACCACATCGGGTCTCCCCCCTCCCCGAAGCAGCTGGTCCAGTTCACAAGTGCGCTTCGCCTGCCCCCGATGTTTCAGGAGAGCGGCACGCCTGCCGCCGAAAGTCTCTCAGCGCTGGGCACGGCCAGCGTGCACCGCCGCGGGGGAGGGGGGAGGCGGCGCGCCCCCGAAGCACCGAAAATCCCGGCTCCAGGACGCGTGGTGGCGGCGGCGGGGTCAGCGGCCAGGAGTTTGTGCAGGTTGGATTTGGCAGCTGGCGAGGCACAGAGCGAAAAGGAAACCCCTCAGGATAAAGAAATAATAAAAAAAAAAGAAAAACAAAAAGAAGGAAAACCCATCAATAATTGAAAAAATCGACGTAAAAAAAGGAAAATAAAAAAGCGCTCGTGCATGAACGAGTGTGTACGTCCCCGGCAGGAAGAGAGCGGCGAGCCGGGCGCCCAGTCCCGTCCTCCTCCGCCGCCGGTGGTGGTGGTTCTGCTGCTGCTCCGCGCCCGCGGAGCCCCGCGGAGCCGCCGCCGCCCCCCGCGCTCGCCCGCCCGCCGGGCGCTGCCCCGCGCCCCCCGCACGCCGCGCTCCGCCGGCCGCAGCTGAGAGCGGACCCCGCGCCCGCCCCGCGCCGCTTTATCCTTTCGCAGCCCGCCCCGCGGCCAATCGCGCGCTGTATCCAACGCCCTCCGCGTGCCAAGCCCCGCCCGCCTCCCCGGGATTGGCGGCCGGCGCGGCGCGGTAATAATGGCCGCGTGCAATGGGAAGCGCCCGCGCTGACCTCATTCCCGGCGGCGGGGCGAACTTTTTAAAAGGGGCAGGAGGGCAGCTCCGCGCGCCGCCCCGCGCCTCGCCGCGCACGTGCCCGCGACCCCCGCCCCCGGCCGCGCTCCTCCCTCCCCTTCCCTTCCCCTCCCTCCCCCTCGCCTTGCCTTCCTTTGCCGGGGAAAAAAATTAGGAAATCAGCAAAAATCATCATAACACAAATCATAAAAAAAAAAAACCAAAAAAACCAAAACAAAAACGGGAGAGAGGGGAATTAAGCGGTGCTGTCCCCGCGCGCGGTGTCTGCGGGGCGGAGAGCGGGGGCACCTGCTCGCACAAAGGGCCGGGAGGATGTTCCTGCCGCCCCGGAGCCGCCGCACGCCCAGCGGGCAGCGCTGCCCGGGGGTGCCGGAGGCCGCCGCATGCCCGTGCCCGCGCCTACACACAGAGCGTCGCGGAGGGGTCGTCACCCCTCGGGAAGAGCCCGCGAGGCGCGGCCGTCACGCCCCCTCCGCCACGGAGCTGAAGCTGGAGCGGAGCGGCGCCGGGGGTGGGACGGCACAGCCGGCTGACACCTCCCGCGGAGCTCCCGGCCTCGGGCCGGTCATAGCGCTAATTAGCCGCTGCCACCCATCCCGAATTCCCCGGCGCGACGAGAGGAAGAGGTGTTGCCCTTATCGCCTTTTTACCCTCCGCCCCCCTCCCCGGCGCTTCGCTGGCTGCCGCTCCCTTGCTCCTCGGTACCGCCGCGACGCCCGACCCCGGGGAGAGGCTGCGGCTGGGGGAGCCCAGCCCGGCCCCGCCGGTTGCCCAGAGAGAAGGAGGGGCTGGGGGGGGGGAAAGCGGTGCTCGGCCGGCAGGCAGGTATCAGCCTCCGGGGCGGAGGTGCTGCCGTGCGTGTCCCAATCTGCCCTGCTGAGCGGCCCTACCCCCTCTCCGGGGCCCTTCCTGGGGTGCAAGGTGGTTTTCGGGGATTGCTATTTCATCTCATGTACCCCTCTGCCATGATTAGTGGTGAAGAAAAGCAAGGCAGCAGTGCTAGGCGCTGTGCACCACCCCTTAAGGCCCCGTGGCATAAAAAAAACCCCCAAAAAACCAAAACCAAAACAAAAACAAAAAAACCCACCTCACATCCAGGTAAAGGAGACGGTAAGACCATAATAGCAGTGTTACTCCCCAAAGATTCCTCACATCATTCATCTGGCCAGGAACCACAAAAGCTGTTAGACAAAACAGCTGTGAAAATTTTTGTTTCACACAACACCAGTTAAAAACACGTTTTAAATCAGAAGCAAAATAATGATTGGAAACAGCTAAAATGTCTCAGACTAGAAAATAAGTTACATATTTTTGCAAGAAAATTTATTGTAGGATTCTTTAGCAGAGTTTCTAGCTAGCTTGAGAACAGGCTTTGAATATTAAGATCTCACACTGGACTCAAAGTACACTGTTGTGAAGTGTGGAGAAAAATCCTGAATTCCCAATACCTCCCTGGTAGGTCACCTACATTATTGAGACTGTTTACAAAGATACAAGCTAAATTATTGGTTTGCTTGCAAAAATAATACATGGGTTCCTCATACAGCCTCTGGTCAGCATTGGATAAAATACTGCTTTCCACTAGGTTGACGACACCCAGTGACATCAGTGGAGTTTCTCACCTTTACACTTCGTAAGTAATAAATCACACTATGTTTTTCCCCTGCAGCCCCAAAGCTATGATCAAATCTATTCTACCCTATACCAGCACCATCTACAGAAACAGAGGCTCGCAGTGGGTTTGGTGTCAGGAATAACCACTGGCTTTTGCTTACACTCTTGGTATTCATGTGCAGCAGCATGAAAAACTGGGACTGGGAGCAGTCAGTAGCTTCTGGCTGCCCCACCTGTCAGCACAGTATCTAGCAGGATTTCAACACCCAACTGTTGTATTTTGCATATAAATATTAATTTGTTTAAACTACAAAGCAAGTAAAATATTCTCATGTTTCTAGACACGGGTTAAAGCAGAACGAATAAAAACTAAACTGATAGGCAGACATAGAAAGAAAAAGCTTTAGAAAAGCTTTTCATTTGGTTGTGTTATGTTCTGCAAGGTCTTGACTGCCATGAATAAAATTTATCTCCAGGTGAGGAGTTAAATCTTTTCTTAATGAAAGCAGCCACATCAATTTAATCTTGATTGAAAAAGTGTTTATGTGGGATGGTCAGAAGAGTATTATTTCCTGAAAGAAAACTGTACAAAAGTGCTATTTAGAGCTGCTTAATAAAGCAAGTGTGAGAACAAGATGTGAAACTCTATAAAAGCATTTTACTACAATTTCTTAGCTGTTTCCTCAAAGTTAATTGCTTCCACCCCTAATCCTCCAGTGCTGGACTGAAAGTACCTTCCAGCTCCCCAAACTTTTAAGCCTAAATGTAAAGCGAGAGCACTCAGCTTCCGTCTAAAAAATGAAGTTTTAAGAGCATTGGCAAGACTTCTCCGTGTTTTACAACTTAAAAAGCCTTGAAACTCCATTCTGTTTCCTGCAGGCTCCATGAGGCCGGGGATGAGGCACGGGACGCGAGGTGGCAGCGCTGAGCCTCTTCTGCCAGACGTGGGAAAACGCGGAGCTAGCGAACCCGCGATTATTATTTTTTTAATTATTTTTTTCCCTATGGTTTTACCGAGCAGTATAACGCTGCAGCTTTCTGACTGAAACTCTGTAGGTTTGCATCAGAGAGCGGCAGTGCCCACGCAGTCACCTGTACGCCGCCGGAACAGTGTGCGATTGATGCTAAACCCCGTTGTGGAAATTAAGGGCACGGGCACTGCCTAACACCGTTTTCACACACTGGGACCTGCAGTTTGCCTTGCACACGGAGCAAGAGAGCTTGTTCAGAGCCAACGTTCTGGACAAATCTACTGCAGGACTGGGCTCCGCAAGCATTGATCCCAGGATTCCCATCCCTGGAACTGTTCAAGACAGGGTTGAATGGGGCCCTGAGCAACATGATCTAGTGGGTGGTATCTCCGCCCATGGAAGGGGGGTTGGAACTAGATGATCTTTAAGGTTCCTTCTGACCCAAAACATTCTCTGAATCTACGATTGATTCCAGGTTTTATGTGTGAATCAGCCTGCAGTCCCCATCGGTTAAAAT